TATATGATGTTAAATTTTAGTATTCAAAACTTTTATATAATTAAAATATTTATGAATTTACGTTTACATATATATCTTAGCTTTCACTAATTCAAATTAAATGAAATTTTAATATAATGTAAATTGAGATTATATCAAGATAATATTAAATTTTGAACTAATTCTGATCAGTGCATCTTGAGTTATATGATGTCAAACATAGTGTTCAAAGACTTTTGACGGCCCTCTGTATTAGGTATGAATTTAAAAAATGACTGTTATTTCACACATAAAAAATATATAAATAGGCCAGATATTTATTATCTCAATACCTAATCAACTATCATATAAGTACTAGCACAAATGAAACTTCTTCGAATCTTTTTTTAGTGTGAGTTAATAGCTTTTCTGATAAATCTTCAGTGAATTTATTAAGACTTTTTTAGCTTGAGATACTGTACATGCTAATAATCAGCCAATATGGATCTGATTACCACCCTTACCATTATAACTATGCTGTAGTAAAAATTGATAGTCATCTATTATAATATCTTCCATTCCCTCCTGTTCTGATATTATTCTTTGAAACATTTGCCTATCCTCTTCTGTAATCAGGAGACAGATTTCATTAGGTTCGAAGCCTATATATTGGGAAACTTGATCATATAATTCAGCCATTATATCAAAAAAGCTTATCTTTTAAATATGTAGATTTTTTCAGCTGATCATAAACTAATTAACAATTTTGCTAAATTATTATCCGAAAAATACTAATGATTATCCCAAATCATCTTTAGGTATATCTGAGGCTAGGTTATATATCAGAAGCCAGAAGTTTGAAGATAAGAATTGAAGTTAGCCGGTATTATTGCATAAGAAAAAAATATAAATAATATTATACGAAGTGCCTTATAACTAAATTTCTTAGCTGAAATTGCCATATCCTACTAAGAGACCTAGAAAGTCTATCGTAAGCTTTTTATATATTTTTCAAGGTAGTTTTTTGCTTTTTTCTAGAAATAAATATCAATCTGTTTTTCCCTTTTATCTAAATCCTTGATCTGCATTATTCTATCTGATGGAAGCGATTGATACATATCATCTTTATTAATAAAGCGTATGCACATTGCTATTGTTATTCCTAAGTAATAATTGATATCTATTTCCATGTTTTGTTCTTTTGCGATGTTCACATACTTCATAAAATTGCCAAGTATATGTAGCTTCTTTCTACTTTCTTTATTATAAAAAGGTGGGTCTTTTATAACAACATAGCTAAAGCGTTCGCTAGGATCAGAAATCTCTTATTTTTTCTCTCATACGTCTCATAAAGCGATTGTTGTATAGATTTTTTTCTTAGGCTTCCATGTACCTATTACAATAAATTCATTGAAATCCTATTCCTTATTCTAGGCTTCTCTAAGAGTATCTTCAACAATTTCGTGAATTGAACGCATATTATTTATATCTATAGCCTCTCTCATAATCTTCTCTCTGATGAATTTGAGAAGCTGAGATTTATTTTACTTTACAGTTTCTATCCCTTTTATGAAAAGTTTTTTCGGCTTAAAGTTTACTACATCTTCATGCCCAACCCAAAGTACTTCTTTTTACCAGTAAAGCAGACAGGAAATAATACCTCTTTATATGCTATCTTTAGATAAGATGTCCCACTTTTTATCCTAAGATAAGCATTTACTTGATCACACAACTTTCTCATCACATCTATAGTAATTTTAACCATTTCAGTCCAGTACACTTTTTTGGAAAGTTCTTTTCTGGAGAAGGCTTCATCGCATTTCTTATAATACCTATCTGGCAAGTGAGATACAAGAATCGGTATCCCCATATTTTATCCCAAACCCTTTCTTTAATATGAATTCGGCAACAAGATTAAGGTTGTATTTTTCTGCCATAGTAGTTTCACAGGCTAATTCGCGAAGAAAGATTAGAGATAGTGAGTTTTTAGCTTTCCCATAAAAGTGTTTATGTATACTTTCAAAGCTTTTTACTTTGAATCTAATAATCGTAATCGAAGTATACAGATGAGTATTCTAAATTTAAGCTTTCCAGAATCTTTTTGCCTTTTTCTTTAGCTGAATTTATCATTTTTCCAAGATGTTGTTTTTTCTTTCTAGTGGGGCTAGATGTGCAGTAAGATCTAATCTCTTATTAAATAAATCCTTCAATATGGTCAGATATAAACTTTTCTTTTCCGTTTGGCTATCATAGTGGACGCATCAAGCTTAAACAATATATTTATTAAACAAAAACTCAATCTTATGCAAGTTATTTCTATTATTTTATACAATATCGATATCATTTGGATCAAATATAAATTTTTTTAAGAAGAGGTTATATGCTATGATAATACTGGGTTATAATGAAACAAAATCCAATCCCGTTACAGGTCTTTTATTTTTAATCCCTTTTTTAGGTGAAAATACATATGCATCAGGATATTTCCCTTTTTTTATATTTTTAGGAATTCTTGTACTAATTACCATATCTCGTTTGAATAATATATGCATTGAGAAGGTTTCATACCTTCATTCCATTTACACGATAGTATGTGTCGATAAGAGAAACATAAGCTATAGAAGCAACTTCTCTATAATCATTTATTATACTTTGGTTTACCAAAAGCTCTTGACAGCACAGTGTATCTATAATACAGTAATGTGCTACTTCACTCATATTTTTCGCAGTTGATGAGAAAGAGCTTTTTTTCACCTCTAAATATATTTTTCACATTTTATCATATGGCATGTCAGCCTTACTGTCAAGACCACACTTTTGTAAGAAAAATTTAAATGAACCTTTCTTTTCGACTTCAAAATGAGGGAAACATTTTTTGAGGCACATTCAAACGTCAATCAATATGTAACCTGACAGTTTAAGGAAGCTAGAAGTAAAATCATCTTCCACATTAATTTTGATCTTAATTAGACCATCCATATATTCTTTCACCTCTAGATCCTCCTCCCCTTCCTTAGGAGCTTTAACAGGATACTTTTTTACAAAATCATTTCAGATTTTGCTTCTATCTTTTCACAATATTTCCATTTTATAATTTTTTCCTTTGTTTCAAACTTTCTTGTCATTCGCTTTCACATTCATTCAATTATGTTAAGGTGATAGGCTCTTTTCATAATGAAATGCCAATTATAATCTGAATCGTTGAACTTGACTAGGATGTCAGAGGTAAATGCTCGCCAGCAGTAGGTAAAAGCTTTTAGCAGATTTTCTTAATTTCTACATATGATTGTAATTCATTGTGGATCTGGTTCCATCTCAACATTGACAAAACATATTTGTTTTAGTGATTTTGAATCATCTTTCTAATGCAATATCATATCAATCATAAAGATATTATCATTCAGATTGAAGACTTTAGCAAATTCAACTAACTCTTGTTATTGCATTTCTATATCTCATGTAAAGACAAGAGTATAATTTCGCCAGAGAGCTGAAATAGGAAATCGGTCACCTATTATTTTTAGGTCTTCTACTGGTCAAAAATCTTTTTTATAAGTATAAAATATGTGTGGATAGAGAGGATCAATTCCTTTCTTATAAATATATTTACTTAGCATAGATCATCTGGAAAGTTGGATTTCATTTTCTTGAGCCACCTTACGATGAAATGAGTATAAATTATCTGAAGTAGTTTTGTAATTATTATCTTGAACAGCCTTAGTGGCTGTTTTTCTTTTGCCAGTACCATGCGTATAAATTCGTAAATATGTCTTTTTTTCTGTATGATAACCCTGAAAAGGGAAAGCTTTAATATGCTCAATTTTTTGAGTCTCTACCTTCCCAGAAAGAATACCTCTTACTTTTGTTTCAAAATCATCTGGAGTCTCCCATTCAGTACAAGAACATCAAAGAATACTCAGATTTCATAAAAAGTTACTACTGCTTTTTTGGCCATTAATTAGAGAACTGTAGAGACATAATACATAGCTGTACTTTCCATTTATTTTTTCTGATGACCCTTCATTGTCAATGGTCATGAATGGAATTTCTTGGTAACTGGATAAAGCATCAACAAGGATTGCGATTAATCTCTCATCATTTTTCGCATCTATATCATCTCATATTAGAATACCAGTCAAGTATTTTTTATTGGAATAGCAAATTACCTGGTCTTTCATTTTATCTTTTTCACCTAAAGGCTGAAAAAGTGAGGCAGGAACTCTGAAAGATCAGATTGGGTTATGATACTATATTACAAATATATAGTTTGAGAGAAAGTATATATTTTGGAAGAAAAAAGTTTAAAATGAAAATTAATTCTGAATATATAAACCGATACATAAACCAACCATTTATAATTATTAAAAATAGTATCTTATTGATGTACTTATATTCACAGGAGTGGTGAGATTTGTAATTGTGAATGCTATCATCCAAATGGATGTCATATTTATTGTAATTTTCTTTCTCAGGTATTTTGCAATAAATATGAATGCAATAAATTAACTTATGGCAAATATGGATTTTGTGATATTTATACTATAAAGTATTTCCAACTAATTTTTGCGACTAATAATAATTTATTGCAATATTTCATCATCATCAACTTATGCTCATTATTAATAGTTTTTTCTGGAAAAGGAGTCGAGGTTCTTTTTACCATAAATATAAATACATAACATGCGTGAGAAACTGTCGGGATGTTATATCACTGTCTACACTAATTTGTATTTCTTTTCTGTAGACTTCTTTTCAATCTCTATTTATATATATCTTTTTGACAACAAAGTCAGGCTGCCCATTATAATTTTCAACTTCTAAAAAATTTAACGAAAGTATTAGCAAATAAAACCTTTGAATAAAACCAGCTTATTTTTGTTATCGTTATAATAGCATATATACCCACCACATACTAGACTTCTTCAAAGTGATTGCATTTGAACTTACGCTAACGTGAAAAACTTTAACGGTGTCTGCTACTAAAGAGTTTTTCGAAACAGACTTTCCAAGAGTTGGTTTACATTCGTAAAGGTATGTGATTAATATATCTGAGAGACTTGCTATATAATGTTTTTTATGCTAAATATGAAATCCTATTTTAAGAACACGTCGTTTGAGAGCACAACTGGGAAATTGGACGAACAAGAGAATTAGAATGGAGGGTAAATGGGGAGGAGTGGAAGAGTAGACAAGGGTTTAATTGTTTATTATATGATTTATAAGGGCGGGACGTTGAACTACTTTCTTCAAGAAAAGGTTAAAATATCTCGCATTTTTGAAATATAATTATTAGAAATACTTGCAGGTAAATGATGAATTTTCCTTTCCGAATTTGACAAATTATTGCATTTTTCACACATATTCAAAGGATTTAATGTATTAAATTAATTTTTCTTAAAATTCATTTGTACATAGACGATGATATTAACTTAATGGCGCAAGAATATTTTTCCGAGTGTTAACATACCAAACACCTACAGGTATTAAAATGTCTAAAAACCCGTCTGAAATAAGTCACTCGCATGAAGAACAACTTGTTATGAATCTGAAAGATGCACTTGACCTAAATAGTTCATCTAAATCCAAACCACTTGCTGATACTCCAAAACCCGAAGTGACAAGTAATAAAGCTGTTGAAAGTAATCTTGAAAGCTTCGCTAAAAAACTAGGTCTCAGTTTTGCAAAAAATAAAGATGACTTAAGGAAATTTTATGGTATATAACAATTTGTTCCAGCTTGATTGCATTTTTACTAATTTGTCCTTGTTTAGATTTCGCTGGTCCCGACTTCATTTGGCCATCTATAATGAATGAAAATGACTACCGTGAAATTTTTTATTTCATTATTGATCCTGATTGGGAAAATGTTGGAGAGGAGCTCGCAACAAATGCTATCGCATATCATCGTTTAATTGAATCTGGAATTTTTAAAGATAAGCCGAAAGGAACATATGTGTTAATCGTTCATGGAAAGATTTTAAAATATTATGATGATGATATATCATCAGAAGATTACGAAGAGTTTGAGAAAAGATATCCAGGAAAGTACTTCGCACCTATCACTAGAAAGACTGTTCTATTGCGTAAATTCTCTGCCAATGACGATATAGTGAGAAAGGAATGGCAGGTATGTTTATAATTTATACACATTGACAGATATTGAGAATGATATCTGCCAATGATCTAAAAAATAGGTATTCCTTTTGCCAAAATGAATATGTTAGGTAAACATATGTCTTCGAAGCACAGTAAATGCACAAGGGAGACCGTCCAAAATAAGGAATGAGGTTACACAATTTATTAAAAAATTTTTTTATACAGTATATAATACTTTTTGAGAGATCATCCAT